AACCGACCCGGGGGGACGCCTGCCCTGGCCCCAGATCTTCTGGCTGGGGGCCTCCAACCGACCCGGGGGGACGCCTGCCCTGGCCCCAGATCTTCTGGCTGGGGACCTCAAACTGACCCGGGGGAATGCCTGCCCTGGCCCCAGATCTTCTGGCTGGGGACCTCAAACTGACCCGGGAGGACGCCTGGCCCCTCTCTGCTCTGGAGACCTCGGATTTGGCAGCGTCCCCCTCCAGGCACCAAACTCCATCCAGGTCCAGCCCCAACCCAGCCCCTTTCCTTCCCTGTCCCCTCCTGGTGCTCCCAAACCATGGCCCCAGCTGTGGGGACAGAACTGCCGTCCCGGCGGGTCACGGCCCAGTTTGGCCCCGCTGGTGGGGGCTGCTGTGCCCAGGCCCCACAGGGCAGGTCTGGCTCACAGGTTTTGGGGACCTGGCAGCTCATGTTAGCGCTGCTCCCTCCTCGCACCAGCTCCTCGTGCCTGGGTGAAGACGGACCCTGAGACCTCTCTGGCCAGGAGCAGTGAAGGATCCAGACCCAAAAATTCCTAACGATGACGGATCACAGCCACGGCTCCTCGTCATGGAGACGGCAACCAGCAATGTCCGGCTCACTGGGATCCCATACATCCCAGCTGGGTCTAAATGTGGGGCATCACGCTGACCTTTTTTGCCCTTTTGCCTTTTTTTTTTTTTTTTTTTTTTTTTAAACTGAGACACAGTCAATACAACCTCAAGCCACCCCGACATGCCGCTGAACCCAACCACCGAGACGCCCTGCCGGCAATGCAGAGCCGCCCTAAAGCATCCGCAGCTCGACAGGAAACAGGCAGCAGTAAGAGGATAAAAATACCCTCGGTGCAAACAAAACATCTCTGTGTCAGGATTAGGGGGCCATGGGCTGCTCCAGCCCCGCTAATCGGGGCCAGAGCCGGAGGGGAGCCGGGCTGGGCGACCGCCGTGGCTTTGGCTTCTAGCACACGTGTGAGCCAAGGGCTCTAAAACCAATAAAACCACCCAGCAGCTGCGTGCGGGGACAGGAGGGGAGGGCTGGGGCCAGAACCCCCAGCTCCTGGACCCCAAACCCCCCCAGGAAAAAGGGGGAGAGAGCATGCCGAGCCCCAATATCCAAATCCTGTTCCAGCTCCCGCAGAGCCCCAGCACCAAGGAGAGGTCCCCCCTCCTCCCCTGGAGCACCCTGCCTCCATCCTGGGGGGAGGCGAGGGATGTGTGGGGATGTCCCGTGCCCCCCATGGCCCCCACCAATAAGTGCATGTGAGTGCTCCGAGCATGGGGCTGCAGCAAGGCCCCGCCACGAGAGCCGCCTAAGGAGATTATCGCTCCTCACATGAGCCCGCTGGGCCCCACGGCCTCGCACAGGGGAGGAGGGGACATGAGGGTGACAGGGACAGGGCTGGGGAGCCCCGCGAGGGTCCCTGTGGGCACGGGAAGGGGCAGAGCGGTGCTTTGATGTTTGAGTTGGGGCAAGCGCTGGGGACTGGAAAACCCACAGACACTTTGAAGTGCTCGTCCCAGGGTGAGTTCAGAGCAGGCACTGACCCAAAAAGCTCAAACCTGAGCACTGTGGGGCAAAACCCCCCCGGCAGCGGGCGGGAGGGCACAGCAGGATCGCAGATGTCCCCATGCAGCCAGGGGCACAGCTGGGCTCAGAACAGGTCCAAAATAAGATTTTTTGACCCCGGGGCCACCCTGCCCACTCAGGACCACGTTGCCATCCCTCATGACGCCAGCCCTTGTACAGGGGCAGGCCACAGGGACATCCCCCTGCCCTGGGGGCAGATCCAAGCCCCCCACACCACAGCTCCTAGGAGGCTGTGGCCATGCTCCACCTCTGTCCCCAATCCCCTGGGACCCTCAAATGAAAGGGGACAGGGGCTGGCAGGGGAATGCGTCCCCATTGTCCCCACAGCCCAATTGGGAGAGACAAACCTTCACAGCCCAGTCCTGGGGTGCCAAGGGCTCTGTCCCCATTTGCTGGCACCTTGGGGCTGCCTGGCCCCCGGAGCGGCAGAGGCAGTGGCCATGGGGGACAGCCAAGGGGCCGGACCCCACGGGGTCCCTGGCTGGGTCACAGGGAGGCAGCCCCAGGGGTACCCAGCAAAAGCGCACAGACAGATAAAACATTAAACCTCTGCTCTTTATTCGGTGCCTGGTTTCCTCACCCCGTTTCCCGAGCGCTACAGAGGAGGTTTTCCAGGGGTGACCTGAACACGGGGAGCACTCTGAGAAAGCAGAGCAGGGCCAGACCGGAGGGGGTGTGGGGCAGGGGGGCACCTCCTCCATGCATCCCCAAATTCCCCTCAGGGACACGGCTCTGTCCCGGCCGTGGGGCGAACACCAGGCACCCCGCTGCCACCAGCACCGATCCCGGGAAAGCTCCGTCAAGAGCAGGAACGGCCACCTCCTCCAACCTGCCCTGCAGCGAGGCTGGGGAGGGGGCCAGGCCCCCAGCCCCTCTCCGACTCGCCTTATTGCTATAGTCAGAGCAGTCGAGCAGCCAGGAGGAGCTCAGGAGTTCGCTGTTTTAGGAGAGGGGTCGAGGACACGTCCAAAGCCAAGGATATGCCATCAGGAGGGCGGGCTCTCATCTTTCTGGGGAAGGGGGAAGGAGGGAGCTGCCGTCTCTGGCCAGCCCGGCCGGTGGTGCCAGCAGCGCCGGGGCCGACACCGGGAGGGAGCAGGATTGTGCTCGTGTCCAAGAGGAAATGCACCGTCCACTCCAGGGCCTCCTGCCCTCTCCCGAGCCTGGAGCTGAGGCTGTACAAACTCATTGCACCTCCAGCAGCAGAGACTGGGGAGGGACACCGGGAGAACTGGAGAAACAGGGCAGAAACCCCCAGCCCGTCCCCCTGCCTAGTTGCGTTGGCTGGCCAGCTCCTGGGAGATGAATTTCCGAAGGCGCTCGAGGTACTGGCTGTAGAGTTCAATGTCATTGTGCCCGGCCCCATCCACCCACAGCGGCTCCACAGCCTTGGGGCAGCGTTCAAAGAGCGCCAGGCCGTGGGAGAAGTCGATGACTTCATCCTCCGTGCCGTGGATGATGAGGACGGGAGAGGTGATTTTGGAGATCTTCTCGATGCTGCCAAGAAAGTGGGTGGGGAAGAGATGAGAGAGGGGGGTAAGTACAGGGATCAAGGCACCCCCCATTCCTCCTGCCCCCCAAAACACATCCCCTCGGGGAGAGGGACCAGGAAACGCTCTTTGATCACAGCAGAGCACGGGGACACGGAGCTTCTGCCAAGGATGAGCTCTGGGACAAGAGCCCCCCTGGTGTGACAGACGAGGACCAGACAGCGGTGACAACAGCCCCATGGGACCTAGGCAGGGCTGACTGAAACCCCTAGGACAGCATGAGCCTGGGCCCTCCCCACGTCGGGATCAGCCGTGCCAGGCTCTGAGGAGTGGAAGCACGGCCATTCTCAGCCTGGCCCCAGAGGCCGTGCGAGGCCATCGGAATGCGGAACGTGGGCTGGTGGCTCCCAGCCATGGCTTCTGGCTTGGAGACCACCCCTCAGGCCCCGCTGGCCCGGCCGCAAGGGAGAGGCAAAGACCTCATCCCGCCTCAGTGCTGCCTTTCCGTGCCCCTGCCCTCTGCAGGGGGGGCAAAAAAGAGCCCAAGAAATTACCCTTGGGGAAGAGAGGGGTCCAGGGACCCCAAGGCTTGTGATACCCGACAAGGGGCTAGTGGGCAAAGACACCAGGACAGGATGGCTGGGAGGCAATGCCCCTGGGGAACATGGGGTGCACCCATGGCATAGCCCTCAGGAGGGGGCACAGTGACCCCAGGGAGGGCACGATCCCCCGCAGGGGATCAAAAGCAAGGCAGGAGGATAGCGATGGGCACGTTTAAGCCTATTGTGGGAAACAGGCCCACAGTTTTCACCATAACCCCTCTTTGTGGCCAGGGCTGGCGTCCAGGACAGAGCTGGCCTGGGCACTGCCCCTCCGGAGCTGCCCCCCATCCCTTCTCCTCAGGGCCACTCACTTGGGGAAGGCGTCGAACCAGTACGTCTTCTTGGTCTCGGGGAAGGCGACTCTCATGCCAGAGGTGAGGGGGGAGTGGAGCACAATGGCAGCGCACTCATAGCGGGAGGCCAGATCAACTGTGGGCACTGTGCCGATGCTTTGTCCATATAAAATAATGTTCTCCGGGCTGATTCCATACCTGGGAGAGGAGAGGGCAGGTCAGCGCCCAAGCACCAGGCAGCAGAGTCACATTGCCAGGAGATACAGCGCAGTGGGTCACCCTGCTCTGGCCATAGCACCCCTGCCAGGCTTCCCAGGGTGGGGTGGGGGGGAACAGGGCTCCGTCCCCCCCTGCCTTCCCCCTGCTCCTCATGGCTGGGCCCAAAGCACCTGCCCTGCACGCCCGGCAGGACCAGGGAGCAGCCAGGGCTGAGCTACTGGGTGAGTCATGGGCAGGCACGGAGGCTCACCCTAGCCAGGAGCAGGGTTATGGGAGGATTCACTGACCCCGCATCGCAGCCGCATGGGGCAGCTCCCAGTTCCTGGGGCACGCTGCGAGCCAGGCCTGGCTGCGGGCAGGGCAGAGCCCATCACAGGGCTGCACCTTGATCCCAGCTGGGGAACCAGGGCTGAGCCTGGGCACAGCAAGACGGGGAGCGCAGCGTGTGCCAGCACCCCCAGGCAAGGTCCTACCCCCCCCAGCATCCCTGCCCCTCTGGGTCCCCTGGCACGCTCTTTCCTGGCCCTGCAGCTGCTTTCCGGCCACCCCTTCCCATTATGAGCAGCCTGGGTTCCGTCTCCGGGAGATTTCCTGTTTTCCAGACTGCCGTCCTGCAGGGTTTTCCGGGACGTCCTCCCTCCCCCCTGCCCGGCGCCCCGCTCACCGCGTCCGCAGCGCCTGCCACGCGGCGTCGATGTCAGAGTAGAGGTTCCTCTCCGAGGGCTTGCCCGTACTCACGCCGTAGCCCGAGTAGTCGTAGGAGAAGATGTTGCAGTTGATGCGGGTGCCCAGCCCGATGTAGAAGCTGCTCATCTGCCCCAGGTCCACGGCGTTGCCGTGGGAGAAGAGCACCGTGTACCTGCAGCACCAGGTAGAGATGGGCACGGCGGGTTAAATCGGGGACTCTGCCATGGTGCCACCACACTGCTCAGCCCTGCCAGCGGCGCGGGGACGGATGTGCCTGGGCAGCGCCAGCCAGGATGTCTGCTTTGGAGGCCAAAAGCCAAACCCCAGGATGCAAAGGGCCAACATGTGGTCCCTCTGGCCACCAAGGAAGGTCCTTGCGACACCCCCAGTCCAATCCCAGAGATACCCAGACCCTCCTCACCACCCGGGGACAGGGGCTCACTCCCAGAAGAAATGGGTAGCCTGAAAGCAGGATGATTCTGTTCAAGTTTTTGAGTCTATTTTTGGTAAAAAGCTCAGGATTTGGGGCCGTTTGCCCAATGGGGATTTCAAATAAGAATTCTGACAGTGGATTTTTTTTCTTCCCCGAGTCTGGCAAGACACCAGAACGCTGGGAGAGAAGTGAATTGTGGGAGTGACAAGGCACAAGAAATTTCCACCATAAGGGGAAAAACAATGTTAATCATAAAAATTAACACTAACAGCGCATTTATGGAAGCTTGGCTCTCTTCGGCCAGAGGGAGGGAGCAGGACCTGCTCTCTGCTGAGCCCCCACAGTTGGTCCAAGAGGTCTGCAGCCAGGTTGAGCCTCCATGTCCCAGCCTGGACACCCCAGAAAACCCCAGCAGGAAGGTGATGGCGGTGGCAACCCGATGCCCTGGGCGGTTTGGGAGGGCCGGATCCCCCCCAGCCCAGGCCCTTCCCTCCAGCCCCGCAGCAGCCGCTCCCGGGGGAGCCTCGCCGCGGCAGGGTGCGGGCAGGCGGATGCGCAGGCAGAGCAATCCCGCCACCGGTTTCCTTTCTCTGGGGACCTGTGACACGCAGGGACGGGGCGGACGTCCCCAGCGGGCAGCCTGCGGAGGCCTCCGGTAATGCAGCTCCCCAGCCCCCGCGACAGCCATCCCCACTTGCCCCAAGCCCACCCAGTGGGTTCAAAGCCCTTGGCAAGGCGAGGGCAGATCCGGGCTGCGTTCCGCCCCCGCAGAGGTCTCTGCAGATGCCATTCCTTGGAGAGTGCATTGCACCCAGGAGGATACCAGTGGTGGTGGGGGGGTCAACCAGGGTGCTGCGGGTTCCGGGACCTGACTTCCCTCCACACCTGAACCCCACGCCGTGCCACCAGCTCGGGGAGCAGCTGCCGAGTCCCCTCCTGTCCCCACGCCATCCCCTCATGCCTAGCCACTGGCAGCCGGGAAGGGGTCTGTGTCCTGCGCTGCCCTTTTCCAGCTTCCCCGTTTACGGACCCATGGGAGCAACCAGCAGCGGGTTGTGCCTAAACCCTTCCGGGCTTTCACCCCTGTCACTCTTCTCCTTGAGGAATCAGCCGCGCCAGTGAATTAGACTAAACGCGCCAACCTGGTTCACCGCAGGCGTCTCCTGCCTGGCACAGGCTCTTGCCCGTCCCGTGGTCACTGTAGGGCAAGTGGCCGGCGCACACCCCCCGGTGCTCACCGAGTACCTCGCACAGACGCTTGGTTCACAACTGGAGCATTACATCACTGGCGTGACATCAGGGAGGATCTGTGGGACAGCCTAGGGAATCCCAACATCCCTATAGCCTCTAGCCTTGCCTCTGCTCCACGTTTAACCCCATTCCCAGCTGCAGCCACAAGCCAGACCGGTCCCGGGAGCCGAGCTCACCCGCCCCAAAGGACGCCTCCAAATCCCGGCGGCGGGACCAGCTCCTTCGGCAAGGCGCCGGG